GGGATTCCAATATTGTTCAATCAGAAAATGCACATAATTCACAAGCTATCACAATACAACAACACTTCATAATAGGCATCATATACATCATCTAATAGCACTACAACATCAATCTATCACTTATTTTGTCATGAATCATCACATTACCATCATATTACTACATTCTCCCTAAAACCCCAAAACCACCTACATACATCTAAACCCTATATCAATTATAATGAAAATAAATACTCCTCATACCTTTGATTCTTAGTTCTGATCCTTTTACTTGAGGTCTACAGCAATCTCTTAGAGCTCTGGCCCCTTCTACCTTTTCCCTCAATGTCATTTCTCCAAACCACAATCGTTCAGAATGAACTTCTCCACTTCTATTTTCCCTTTTGTTAAACTTGCCCTTAGGGCCCCTAATATGCCTTTCCCAACTTACCCTCACTAATACTTCTATAATAATCATCTTGCCCTCGATGTTTCCACTCATTTTATTTTAATTAATAATAATAGTCTAAATAACATAGTCTATATTGTTCTATTATCATTAACTCTAAAATAATTCTAATTAATTATTTAATTTCTAAATAATCCTATTATTCCCTTAACTCATCATCACCCCACATCACACAACAAGAACACACCATACATAATAATTCACCAAAATTCACCGACAATAAAAAATAATTTAACAAATATTAAAATATAAATATCCGGGTGTTACAACTCTCTCCCACTTAAAGAATTTTCGCCCTCGAAAATTATCTGAAGAAAACAGAGTCGGATACGACTCCCTCATCTAATCTTCACGCTCCCAAGTCCAACTTTCACCGGTTGGTCCACCCCACAATACTTTCACCAAAGAAATTTCCTTACCCCGCATTTGTTTCATTTCTCGGCCATCAATCTGCACGGGTGATGCTTCAACAGTCAGGTTATCTCTCACATGTACATCATTCATTTGTATCACATACGACGAATCTGGAATGTATTTCCTCAACTGAGATACATGAAACACATCACGAAGATTCGTAAGCGACGATGGTAAAGCAACTCGATAGGCTACTTCTCTTATCCTCTTCATAATCCTACACGGACCAACAAAATGCGGAGTGAGCTTTCTAGACTTCAAAGCTTGACCCACACCAATTACTAGTGTAACTCTCAAAAATATATGATCCCCCTTTTGGAATTTAAGTGCTTTCCTCCTCCTATCATGATAACTCTTCTGACAAATTTGCAAAGTCCTCATCCTCTGATGATTAATATATGATAAATATTTTTGTTCTTAATGATCCATTCTTGTTTTGTAAAACTCTAGACATAGATTTTATGGAACTTGACCAAAAATATCCATCTATCGATTTATAGATTGGAGAGATCGGTCTATGGTTGATATTTGCTCTGTATTAAACTTAAAGCTTACTATATTGGTTGTTATATGGAGATATCAAGTAGCAAAGAATATGGTATTTCTCACGACATCGTTCTAGAGAAATACGGTGTTGAAAGAATACACGATGATATTAATCGGGTCCAACGTCACATACAAGATCGAAAGAATACGTATAAGTTAGGATATATGAAAACTACTTTTGATATACTTTATTAATAAAACACTTCAGAATTTATCAGCTTTGCTACTAAGAATCTTGACAATTTATGAACCAACATTTGAGAACCTTTTTTCTTAGAACAGTAAATTATTGAAAGGAAAGCATCAAGATATTGTACAATCCCTGTGGAGACGATAGCAAAAACTCACATATAACTTCGATTCGAGTACTAAGGAAATTATTTTGAGTTTTTCCCCATTTTGAATCATCAATGAATTTTTACCACCGTGTTTAGTGAGATATTTCCATTAGCTTCGTGTGTAACATGGTTGTTTACTCCATTGTCAGAATAACACTTATAATCTTGACTATTGTAGGATGAAGAAACAAATTTCTTTGATGTACCTTGCTTCTTACTCTTAGAGTTGAGTAATTTGTGCATGTGTATGACTTATCAAATTGATAAAAGTAATTTATATCTGTATGAGGAATCTACCTGGCACCCACATATTTTCATAATACCAAAAATACCTCCTTCATTTTTTTACTAACCAAAATTAGTAAGCTTTTATCTCAATCGCAAAAAATTCGGTAGGTAATACAAAAATTCACTATAGGTTGTTAGCAAATTAATTGAAAAAACTGGTGTGTAGCAAAAGATTTACCAAATGTTTTTGAGAAAATTCGGTATGCTGGATATTTTACTACACCCCTTAAAAACTAGGTAATGTTATATTTTTGTGCGGTTGTGATCGTGCTGGCATTTTTTTTCTAGGATTGTGATTGCACTAAAACTTTTGTGTGGTCTATAATGATTTAAAACTTGTATAAATATGCGCCATATGTTGTTAACAAAAACATCTCGTAATGTTTCAATTTTGGTATCTCACATTTGTGTATTTTAATAGCGTGAGTCTTCATATTAATTTTAGGATCATAGAGGATACCCCTATTGTTGTTGTAAAATTCAAATTGGATAATCTCTTGTGCTGCCCAGACAATAGAAGGGCGATTAAGATTGAGTACCGTTCATCATCGATTGATAACAAAGGAAAGGTGAAGTTAAGCAATTTTGAGTTGAAAACCGATGAAGATTTAAGTTATGTGGAGCACATATCATTGTTACGAAACAATATTCATGTTAAGTTATGTTCATCCTCTGGTAATGTAATGGGTTAACCCTACATAGACCATACCTCACCGTCTAGGTTTACCTAACCCATGAAGTTATCTAAAAGAAGTGATACCATCTCGAGGCGCTACTAGTCATTCATACCAGGTGGAAGCGGTGGATACATGAGACTTATCTTCTAAGATAATAGATACTACAAGATGCAACATGTATACCCAAGCGGACGCCTCATACATAAAATGTTGCACCAATGACTGATACATATCCTGGAGCCAAGAGAGACAAAAGTGAGCACCCCTGTTAGCTATGAACTCATCCAATACCAACCCTTGTGTGATGCCTAAGCATGTCTCAGCACTCATACAAGCAATCTCCTAGTTCATCAATAGAGAGGTGAAGAAGCTACATGCAAGATGGAGATAGAAGAGGCTGGAGACACCATCTAGGATAATGGTCATCTCATGAAATTGAAGATGAAAGGAGGATTTCTTCTTCTGCCATCACTCAACAAAAAAAGACAACAAGAAACCGTCAAGCATGGTGAGCGAACAATCTACCAGCGACAATAGGACGTCATTGGTGACAATCGCCTAACCTTATCTAACATGTTCGCTTCTGATGATTTCTTCATATTCGACTAGTGGATGGACACCTTCAAAGAAGCACGATCTTGTAACCAATAAAGCACAAGTAATTAATTAGTTATATTCAATTAACTAATAATAAATAAAAACAACTTAAAATAAAAATTTTATACGTCTCCCTATCATAATCTAAATGCCACACGACCGATATTTCTATTGAGCAATGTAGGGTCATTAGGCCCTCCAATTGTTTCAACCTGAACAGAAGGCTCTGTATTAGCTGAAGTTGGCACCTCCGTATCAGGTAGAGCAAGAACCTCTATATCAACTTGAAGAAGAACCTCCATATCATCTTGATTTACCGACTCAACATCATCAACAATGGCAACATCTGAGTCGACATCATGATATCTAGTTCGTTCAGTTTTACCTCCTCTACGTTGAAGAATACACAGTTCATGATAATGTTCAATCCTCCTACAGTTAGAACTAGTGGGGACTACTTTACCCTCCCTAGCCTTCCTTACGACATCTCTCTCTCTCTCTCTCTCTCTCTCTCTCTCTCTCTCTCTCTCTCTCTCTCTCTCTCTCTCTCTCTCTCTCTCTCTCTCTCTCTCTCTCTCTCTCTCTCTCTCTCTCTCTCTCTCTCTCTCTCTCTCTCTCTCTCTCTCTCTCTCTCTCTCTCTCTCTCTCTCTCTCTCTCTCTCTCTCTCTCTCTCTCACTCAATAATCTTGTTCTCTTCCTCTTCTCTACATTATAGAAAAAAATTGACATGCTAGTTTTTGAAAAATATCCTATGACACCCATGCATATATCGACAATTATAAAAAATTTCTCTGCCTATATGTATTTTTATCGGCATTTTAGAAATATCAAGTATACATATATGCATTTTTACTGGGAATTTTAAAATTGCCAGTAAAAACACATACTATCCTAGCCAATAAAAATGCAAGCAAAAATTTGAATTTTACTCGAAATTTCTAAATTACTTGTATAAATCCTTAATTTTGATACCAAAAATTTCAAAAATTCAATAAAAAAACATATTTTTCAATAAAAATACAATGTCCTATCAAAATATTCAGGATAAATGTGTAAATTTAATGAAAGACAAGATTTATTTGCAAATATATGGTATAAACTGCGAAATCTTCAATAAGAATTTATGTTTTTAAAAAAATTCTGAAAAATGATATTGTCAATGTAAAAGTTATATTTTTTAAGTATGAAAATATTATGGCCAAATTAGCAAATAAGTGGGGGTGTTAGATCCAATCAAGAGGGGTATCCAATAGACTCATGGAGCCTTATGACCAGTTTTGAGTCTTTTACTTTTTGTATCTGTTGTCTCGTTGGGCCTTCAAATTATCGCAGTAGGCCCAGACAAAAATATCAATACTTTCAATATACTGCAAAATACTATTTTCAAGGGTATATTTCAATGTTCTTGATTCACACCGACGGTTTAATTAACTATAACTAACACAAAAATATTTAATTTCTTGACTTATGCACAAAAGTTAAATTAATTTCTTGATATCATTATCAATCATTATATAATTAAAGGAGTGTTAAATGATGTGATGTGGATTGGGTAGAGAGTCAAAGTAATCGTCCTGTGACACGTTCGTTCGTTCCCACACAACACAACCATAACAACCTTGTCACTTTCCTTTTCTTTACTTCTTCCTCTTACATGTGTGTCTTGTTCTTTCTTAATTCTCATCAATCACAGTATGAACAATTCGGTGCTTCACAATCACAACACTCCACCTTACTCTTCTTCTTCTTCTTCTCGGAATCATAGCCAAAGGGATGTCCGTTACAGGTTCTCTATCTCTCTCTTTTGGTGTTTGAATAACTAATCAAGAAACATTATGGTTACTTTGTTCCATATGTGTCATGTTTTATATATGTTTATGATTTTTGCAGCTGTGGTTCTTGCGGTTATGATCTTAACCTATCCTCATCCAACAGAAACACATCATCCATAGATTCAAAATATGGAAAATCAATAAAACGAGGCATGATATCGTTCTTCAACATTGATGATACAAGGTTTACACAGGTTGATGAGGTTCAGTGCGCTCCTCATTTTTCTAAGAACTTGTTGTGGGGTTTGTTTCGTCCAAGAACGAAGCTTCGTTGTCGAAAGTGTTGCAACCATATCGGTTATGCTTACAATGGTTACACATCATCATCATCATCATCGTCATCGCCATCTTTTATTCTAGTATCATCAAATGGAACAGAACCATCTCCTTCCATTGAAACACCAAGTCAAGTGAAGTACGAAATTTGTATCCGTGCCTTGCAGCCTTCATTTTCACTGGAATATGGAAATGGAGTCTCTGCCTTAGCTTGAAATATTGCATATATAAGTGTGGTAGATATTGCATATTTGTTTTGTTCCTTTTTGTATGTACATAATCACGATCACCAGAAACCAAGGACTTGTGATTTCATTATTAATCGATATACATACATATAAACCTTTGTTTTAGCTAGGATTTTGGTTTTCAACTCCCTCTTATCAATTAGTCTATAGGTATCTGTATTGTTGTAGCCTACAAAGATCTTGGCTGACTCTAATCTTCCAATGTCCATATCGTGGCATCAGGGACATGCTTGTAATATAACGATCCGAAGACCCTAGATGATTAATACTAGGTTTTCTTCTTGACCAAACATCCTCAGGAAGCTTGTTCATCAAATTCTTTGTGGGACACCTATTTAGAATGTTTGTCGCTGTTGTTACAACGTCTCCCCAAAATTCATGTGGTAATTTATTCTGCCTTATCATGCTTATGGCCATGTTGAGGGGTGTATGGAGTTCTGACTTCATGTATGATACCCTAGCTTGCACAAGAGGATTCAAAATTCTTTTAGGTGTATCTACCATGTCTGTCAGTTCTTAAGATCTTCATTATCTTGACACTTTGCATTTCTACCAACACTTTGAATATTTTGAAGACATCTAAGGCTACACTCTTAGCTTTGATAAAAAAAACCATAACATCCTCGAGAGTGATGAAATATTTGTTAATACTATATTTCGATACTTCAAGTGGTCAACAATGTAAGTATATAGTACAATCTTGGAGATAAATTAGGTTTTATGACTTTTTTTTTTGTTATTTTAGGAATGATATTATACTTTTTATTTTTTGGAAAGATATGATTAACAGATGAACAAAAATCCAGGAAAAATAAGGTGTAGTAAAAAAATTAACACAAGATATATTCTGGTTTTCCTTTCTAAACATGGGGTAGTCGAATCTCTCTACACTTCATGAAAGATTTTACTATATTAAAAATTGTTATAGCCTCACAATAAGACTCTCTTCAATTCTCTAACACAATCAAGAAAACACACTAATTTCTAATTTTACACACAGAGAAAGAACTCTACTTTCTTTCAAATTTTCTTATTTCCGCAATTTTAACATACAAGTTACAATATACTGATATAGATAATTGAATATAGATGAATTTTAGAGTACATGTGAAATTTGATTATTCACAAAATTCAAAGTTTGTCTTCTCTTTCAATATAACCATTCAAGATTATAAATTCTAAGTGCTTAAAAAACTTTTCTCTGGTGAATGAAATTTATGCATTGAAATCTCTAAGAGTTTTTGCAAATGCACAAATGATTTAGTTGAAAATATTTGTTGAAAAAGGTGGTTTGAAATATGAAAAATCATGTTATTTATATATCACAAGATACCTCTAGAAAATAGTGGTAATGTTTGAGAAAATGATCATGAGAATTTGCAATGATTTGGATAATATATCATGATCATATGGAATGAAGAAGTATCACATTGATTTAGAATTTTAAGAGTTAATTTTGGATGTACTGGTGCAACATGCTAAACTCGATGTTCTAGCATGTGTTGTACAACATCTGACTTTGACAGCAGGCTATGTTGGATGTTGTTTGATGCATTTTTCTGATTAGTTTTCAATCAAATTTGATGCAATTATTTTAGCAATGTTTTAATTGATTTGTTGACAATTGAAGTTGTTCAAATCAGATTTAAATATGATTTAAATTTGAATTTCATATAGAACAAATCATATATTTTGATTGGAGTGATTTGATGAGAAAATCATATCCAACTTATTCAGCTATTTTGTGGACGTATTCAATGCAAATCCACAAGAATAAAAAGTCCATAAGGCATCGTTATATAAGGAGACTCAATTCTCATTATTTGCTAAGATTTTAATGCGCAAGAACTAGGTTCTTTGTGATATGGTTTGAGTCTTTTGTTTCTTGTATTTCAAGCTAATGCCATAACTTGATTAGCGTAGAATATATTGTTGTACACCTATATGTTTCAGTAACTTGACATAGAAGGTTTGTCTTATTTGAGTTGTAATATTCAACATTAGTTACTTGAATTGTAAACATCAATCACAGATTGTGTGATTAAGAAGAAAATGAGTAGGTTCACATAATTAGGGGGGGTCCTTAAATAGAAAGTCATTAGGATTAAGAAGAGACTTTGAACAACATAGGATTTTTTGGTTCTTGTAAGACTAAGTGTACTAATTCAAAGTAGTGAATTTCCGTTCTTGGGTTGAGTGACCCCCAAACGTAGGTGTGGTTTCGCCGAACTAGGCTACCAATCTCTTTTGTTATTTTATTGTCTTCTATATTATTTTATTGTTGTCTTTGTACTATCATTTTAGTTTAAGAAATTAGACAAGTTATCTCAATATCTGGTCCAACATTTGTCTCCTAAGGAAGAAAATTACAATTGACATCAGAGCAGACACCTTGTTCTATTCGGATGAGCTCCAGGGAGGATATTCTTTGTTAAAATAGACTACGCTAAGCATAGAGGGTATGTCAATAGACCACCTGCTTTGATGGCACCAATTATGACTATTGAAAAGCTAAAATGGTGGCCTTTCTTAAATCCATAGACAGTAAAACCTAGAAGGCTGTGAATAAAGGTTGGAAACATCATGTGATCACTTCTGAAAATGGTACTACAAGTTTAAAACCTAAAGCTGAATGGATTGATGTAAAAGATAATGGAGCTATTGAAAACTCCAATGCCTTGAATGTTACTTTTAATGGTGTTGACAAAAACATATTTAGATTAATCAACACATGTACTAAAGTCAAAGATGCTTGGGAGATTCTCAAGACTGATCATGAAGGCACATCTAAGGTTAGGATGTCAAGGTTGCAGCTCCTCACTGCAAAGTTTGAAAATCTGAGAATGAATGAATAAGAATCTACCTATGATTTTAACATCATTCTTAGAGACATTGCCAATAATTCTTTTGTATTAGGAGAAAAGATGTCTGAAGAAAAGATGGTTAGAGAGATTCTATGATCCTTGCCTCAAAAGTTTGACGTGAAGGTTAAAACAATCGAAGAAGCTCAAGAACTAAGCACCTTAAGGATAGATGAACTCATCGATCCTCTACAAACATTTGAAATCTCTCTAAATGAAAGATTTGAAAAGAGGAACAAATGTGTTACACTTGTATCCAACTCCCAATAGAATAAAGATCAAAGTAATAAGGATAGTGAAGATGACCTGTTAGAGGCTATAGCTTATGTTAGAAGAAAGTTCAACAAATCCTTAAAAAGACTGGATAAATATTGGAAGACGAATATGCAAGACATCAAGTTTGACAGTGGTTCCCAAAGAAAGAGCTTAGAATAAGACAACGGCAAGGGAGTTATATGTTTTGAATGTGAAGGCTTTGGTCACATCAAAACTGAATGCTCCCTTTTTCTAAGGAAGTAGAAAAAGTGATTGACCATCACTTGGTCTGTGTATGATGAAGGAAGTGAAGAAGAAAATGCAAACAAAGTAATGATCTTCATTGGAAAGTATGAGTCTGATTCTAGTGATGAAGAAATAACTGAAGAAGAGCTAGTTGAAACCTTTAGACTTCTGCAAGTGGAAAGAAGCATGCATAATAGTAGAGAAGAAAAAGGAAATCATAAGTGTGCTTAATAAGGAAAAAGAAAAGCTTGTATAAACCATCACAGGTCTGGAAGATGAGATCTCTTTGCTGAATGCTAAACTTAAAAGTATACCAAAACATGTACAAATGATGAACAACAAATATGAAGAGTTGAATGATGTCTTGGATGAGAATAAGAAGGCTGCGGAATTTGACTACAGTTTCATGAGAAAGAAGTTTGTTCCTTCTAAGAAGAAAATTGAGTTTTTTATGTTGAACCACACGCCTAAGCCTTATTCTAGACATATGTACCACCAATGTACATGGTTTAAGAATTCTGCAAAAGGATGTCACCAATGTGTTAAATGTGGTCACATAAGACCCTTTTTATTATAGTGTGGTTGGTTATCCCAAGTTCTATAATCAAACCAGGCCAAAAAGGAAGAAATGAAAGAAAGCTTAAGCAAAGAAGGCGTGGAAGCCCAAAGAAACTATCAACTGTCTGATGGCTCATGTCTCAGATAGATTATCCTCTAGATAAGACTACTTCCTTGATAGTGGTTGTGCCTAGGGATGGTAAAAAAAAATCTGTGCCCCGTGGATATCTGCGGATAAAATTTATCACGGATATGAGGCGGGTAGTTTAATGGACATCCATAGATAAAATAAATTAATGTTTAAATACTTGTTTCTTAATGGATATGGATACGAGTTTAATGATATTCGTGCCCATGGATATCCATGTCCGTTAATAAATTATGAAAATCATTTAAATATCATTATTTTATTCTGCATTATCTTTTAATCTTCTAAAAAAAATTAGTCTTCTTATATTTCTTTCTTTTGTTTTTATGAAATTTTTTTTTGAAGAAAACCTTTCACATTTCATTCGAATTCTAGTAGGCATTTCATATTTAAACTCTTCAATACTTTTTACCTCACTTCAACAATTTCACAGTCCAACCAATGTGTCATCATTCCTCTATCAAACCAGTGTCTCCTTTCCTACTCCTTTGTCGTTCGTTCTTTCATCATAACTCATAATCACAATATCTTTTATTTGTTTGGTTAAAAATGAAATGTATGGATATTGTGTTTGGATCTAATTATATTTTGGTGAATAAGAAGAAAATCAATGTGATGTTATTTAATTGTTAAATTAAAAGCGAAATGTAGGGATGCTATTTGGTAATAGCTTTTTGTGTCTTTAAAAGAAGTTAAAAAAAATTCAAAAAAAAATTTAATAAAAAAAATATTATTCATGGATATCTGTAAATATCTGCGGATACCTTAAAACTCGCAGACTACCCGTTTAACAGATATCTGCATGGATATGGGGTGGATATAGATATCATATTTATCCAACGGGGCATATACGAATTTCATAGTATCTGTTCCCGTGGATATCCATTTACATCCCTAGT